TGGTAGAGCGCTTGCCTTGCATGCATGAGGCCCTGGGTTCGATTCCTCAGCACCACATAAGCAAAAAGAAAAAAGCCAGAAGTGGCGCTGTGGCTCAAGTGGTAGAGCGCTAGCCTTGAACTGAAGAGCTGAGGGACAGCGCCCAGGCCCAGAGTTCAGGCCCCACGACTGGACCCAAAAAAAAAAAAAAAAAAGCACCGCAAATCAGAGACTTTCTCTCACACCTAACATGCCCAGTGGAGGTGAAACCCAGGAGAGAAATAAAGGAGGAAATACAGAATTGAATTTTTAGGGCTGCAGGCATGGTCTAAGTGGTAGGGCACCTGCCTATCAAGTACAAGGCATTGAGTTCAAATCAAACCGAAACAACAGGCTGAGAAAACACACAGGCCAGAATTTTCCTAGAAATGTTAGGGTTTTATATTCTGTCAGTAAATTGATAGTAAAAATCATAAAGTTGTATTTCTAACATAAGAGCACGGCACAGTCCCCAGCAGGGCTGGAAGGTTATTATATTTATATCCATATGAGATCTTGTTGAAGATCGAGGCTTAAGCTTCCTCCTGGACTTTGCAGAAGCAGAATCTGTATTTCAAACAGATCTTCGGGTGACTCATACCCATATTAAACTTGACAAAGGCAAAGGTATGATACAGGTTTTAGTTTTTGTGTCCTTACAGCTTTAGGCAAAAATCCTTCTAGGGCATGCAAAGGCAGAGCACTGAGTTTAGTTTGGATAGGCTGTGTTCACCTTGACCATCTTTAAAACCCAGACAGCTAAAACCTACGAATCTAGCTTGAGCTTGCACATGTGCATTTAAGGGAGCCAAGGAATACTGCTTCCAAGGGCCAGTCTGAAAGCCAGCAGTGAGGCTCTGTGGAGGGATCCACCTGCAGACACTCTGGCTGTGCAGGATACACTCAGCTACTGCTCAGCCTGCCTGGCCTAACCTCCTCCTCAGCTCAATTCCTCAGGCCCAAGGCAGTCAAAGGGTGTAGCTCCAGAGTTCTGGAAACTTCAACAAACTCCTAGGCACAGAGGTTGTGCCAGTAAGCCCAGGTTGTGCATTCAGACCCACATTCTTTTTTTTTTTTTTTTCTTCTGGTCGTGGGGCTTGAACCCTGGGTCTGGACGCTGTCCCTCAGCTCTTCAGCTCAAGGTGAGTGCTCTACCACAGCACCAGTTCTAGTTTTTTGGTGGTTAATTGGAGATAAGAGTCTTAGGGAATTTACTGCCCAGGCTGGCTTTGAACCGCAACTCTCAGATTTCAGCCTCCTGAGGAGCTAGGATTACAGGTGTGAGCCACCAGCGCCCCGCTTAGACCCCCTTTTTTAAAGTCTACACTTACCTAGGCTGGTGAGGTAACCCTGGCCAGTGGGACCACCTCACTATCTAGGATTGGACTGGGCTTGCTGAAGGATGCTTTGCTTAGCCGGGCTACAGCTCTCCCCAGCTTTGCTTCTGCGTGAAGAAAGTTCCTAGGTAAGAGCTGGAATGTCTCTCACAGGGGAGACCAACATGTCCTGAGACCAAGTGGCTAATGAGTTGAAGCCTTCACTTGAATATTTAGGTGTCATTCCTCTACTCTCAAGAGAGGGACAGATGAGGCAGGTACTAAGGCCAGGAGCTAGCTAGTGGGTAAAGAAGTATTGCAGTGTGCCTGCAGACAGAGAAGACGAAAGGGCAGGGATCCAAACCTCTCATCCTTTACAGCAGAGGAAAGGCTTAACCACACCCGGGTGAAGCTGCTTGAGGAGCTCAGCTGACAGTCCCCAGAGAGGGGGCCACTGCTGACCTGGGCAAGGCTCTGGCAGGAATGAGCCCGAAGTGGAGATGAAAATGGGAGAGGATCCATCCTAATTGGACTCACTGGGGTGTAGCAGCAGAGCAGCTTCGCTGGCTGGTTCTGTATGAGGCCTTGGTCACGTTTACAGCAAGGAACACAAGGCCCACAGTATCTGAGAGAACTTCCTGAGATCAACAAAATGAAGAGATGCTGATCCTCAAAAAGGGTGAGTAGCAGCTGTCGAGGAGCCAGCCCACCCAGGTCAGAGTGTGCAGGGTGAGCCAAGGCAAGGCAGGCCCCACAGCTGGCTCGCTGGGGAACAGCATGAGAGCTACTCCGAGGTGACGTAAGAGCCTATCAGCTTTAGCCCAGTTACAAACACTGACTGTGGCTCTAGGCTGGGAACCAGAGCTCTGATTACCAAACTGTTTTCAAAGCACGGACGTCTCTGAAATTCCTTTACTGTTTTCTTTCATGACTTAAGGACAGCTATAGCGGAGACACTGGCAGTATGAAGATCACCACTGTTTAACTCTGCCTAATGGCAGACGAGGCCAACCCGCTCATAGCTCGGTCCTCTGTGCGGCCCAGGCACTTGGTCAAGCCTCTCTCTGATGGCTACAGGCAACTTGTCCTATCTGATTAGGACTGCCACTGAGAAAAAACAAACAAAACGCGAACTCCTCACCTCACTAGCCCTGTCCTCTGTGATCATAGGAACCATGTCAGGGCTCTGACTTCCTTTTATTTTGCTGTATTCCCAAGGGCCCTATTTTGCCCCCAAAGAGAGGTACCTGCAAGGACCACAGACAACCTGATTTACATAAAATTATCTCACTCCATTTTATTTAAGATTTTTTTATCCAGTTAGTAAAAGAAAGATGTGTCTCTCTTTATACATATGTACAAGTTCAGTTATAAAAATAGACAGCACATTCAAAGAGAAAAAAGGCTTGGCATTTTTCTGATTCCCTCTAAATAGCATCTGTACATAGGAGTCTGGATTTAGGGAGGGGAATCTTAATGATTTAAATTAAAATGATCCCCCTATAACCCTTACTCCAAAAAAATTTAAAAATCAATCTATCTAAACTCAATTCCGCGATTTTCAGGTGTGCAAATTAGAGGCTGGCCCGCCGAGAAGCACCTGCTCCACGAGTGAAGCCCGGTGGAGTGCCTCCTCTCAACGCCACCCGCTGCCCCCCTCGGAGGGCAGCAGCTCAGGCTGCTGGGGCTGCCCTCTTGACACCCTCTTCACCTCATTCCTGCCATCCCTTCCTTTCTCAGTGCAACAAAGACCGTGCATACAGCCAAGCAGGGGGCCGAAGGGCAAGGGCGGGGAGACTGTGCGTTCAAGATGGGCGAAGGGGCGTCTGTAAGAGGGGCAGTGAGAATGTCCTGCTGATTGAGGTGGCTCCTGGTCTCGTACTGGCTTCTGGGAGTCCCTTGGGTGGGAGCTGCTGCTACTGCTGCTGGTAGGACCTGAAGGCTCCCTGGTGTGAACCATGCTGGACAGGGAGGAAACGCTGGGAAAACACCTGCCTGGTGCCCTCTGCCATCCCTACAAGCCACCACCTTCTCTGGCACCCACTGTTCTACCTTCAATGAGGACACCGCTGCACATGCCATCTGGAGACCTGGGGAGCTGCCCAGAGACGGCCAACACCAGGCACACCCTTTCTTCCTTTCCTGGCCCTACGGGAAATCTTACCCTTAAGAGCAGCGTCCACGACGAGGGGTTCTCCACAGCACCTGCACAACCTTTACAAGGGGCGTGGGCAGAGGGTGGAGCAGGGTGAGACGGCGCGCCTGAGCATCTCAAGGGGTCCACATCAGCCCTCCCTGGCGAGAGGGCTAAGACTTGGCCACAGAGTCCATCTGGGACGCTGTTGGGCTGAACCCCAGGGCACTTCCCTTTGGAAACAGGTGATGAGAATTCTCGTACCATCCACCTGCCTACCCTTGCTGCCACTGGTCCTGTCCGCTCTCTGACTCAGGATTTAAGATGCTGTGCCAGACGTGCCATCCAAAGACCATGTGCAGGCCAGGGCTCTCGCCCATGGTTTGGCTGAAGGAAGCGGAGGGTCCAGACGGTTACCGTCCTCCAGAAGGGTTGGTGCCTTTGCCTGGTTTCCGGACCAGGGAGTCTGAGGCTAGGCTGCTGGTCACATGGAGGCTCTTGGGAGTCCCAGGAACATTATTCCCTTTGCTCAAAGGGGAACTTAAGGGAGATGAGGCGCTTGAAGGTCCAAAGTCAGCAAGGCCAGCAGGCCGGACAAGGGATGTTTGCAGAGGACTGTTGGCAGAGATTCCTGTGGGGATGGAGAAAGACACAGGATGGTCGGTAAGCAAGCACCAGTGTATGTGAGCTACCTCAAAGCCAGGGGTGCTGGTTATGAGTCTGGGCTGGAGGCGGGGCAGGAGTCCCTCCCTAAATGTGCCGTGTTCTTACACCATATTCCCATTCGTCCCTCTTGCCAACCTCTTCTTGGCATATCTGCTTGCTGGTCCTGTTAATTGTCTTTTCAATAAGAGAAAACAACATCTATTTAGTTCTCCACCTATTATCCCATGCAGAGTGAGACATCCTCTTGGGGCTCTGGATAGAACAACACAATATAGGATGTTAGGACTGCAGAATGGGACCTATAACTTTCTAGGCACTGATGCCCCTTTTTTTTTGCACAGCAGTTGAGATTGGCTATTTCCTCCTAAATTTCACAGGAGATGTTTCTACTCCCCTGTAAATCTGAGGTTGGAGGGTGTGGTTCAAGTGCTACAACACTTGCCTAACTAGTGCAAGGTCCTGAGTTCAAAGGCCAGTTACCACTCAAGTGACAAATAGTGTGCTTTCATAGCCCGGTTAAGTCTGGGCAGGGGACACAAAGCCATTCACTCTCCCCATTGTGTCTATACGCATGAAATTCTCCTGGCTGGCTGTGGTCAATCCTGTTCTCTAAGCCCTGCCACTTTAAGGATCCAGGCCATATATCTAGTCTTGTGATAGCTCCCTGGGTAACCATGGACTTTTCTTTTTCCTAGTGTGAGTCAAATTACAAATGATAATACAATGTCTAATACAGTTCTTCAGTGTACTACTGTTTTGCCTTCCTATCAACTTTAAGTGCTTGATGGGCAGATGGTCTCTCTGTTACCCACAATGGAGTGAAAAGTCAAATCCAAACCCATCCTCCTCTTGTTTTTCATTTCTAGTTAGCAAGCATTATTGAATTTTCTCTAGCTGTTCCACCCACTCATACCCTTCTCAATGAAGGTTTCTAGAGAAACCCTGACAAGCAGGTCATCCACGGTTGAGTCCCTGCCACACAGCTGTAACACTGGCTAGACTGTTTCCAAGGCAACAATCAGCTGGCAAAGGGTTAAGAAACAATGGGCTAGCTGGAATTTGTTACGCCTGAAATCCTAGCTACTCAGGAGGCTGAGATCAGAGGATCACAGTATGAAGCCAGCCTGGGCAGGAAAGTCTGTGAGACTCTTACTTCCAACCACCAAAAAAGCCAGAAGTAGACCTGTAGTTCCAAGTGGTAGAGCACTACCCTGAGAAAAAAACCTCAGGGATAGCGCCCAGGCTCTGAGTTCAAGCCCCAGTACTACCAAAAAAACCAAACCCAAAACAAAGCAAAACAAAACAAACAGTGGTCTAAGCTATTATACTTATTTCCCGAATGAAAAAATAATGAGATTCACTGCAGTAAGAGACAGAAACTAGGGGCTGGGAAGGTGGCTCAGTGGTAGAGCGCTTGTCTGGCATGCCTGAGGCCCTGGGTTCAATTCCTCAGCACCACATAAGCAAAAAGAAAAAAGCTGGAAGTGGCGCTGTGGCTCAAGTGGTAGAGTACTAGCCTTGAGCTGAAGAGCTGAGGGACAGCGCACAGGCCCAGAGTTTAGGCCCCACGACCGAATCCCAAAAAAAAAAAGAGACAGAAACTAATCTTAGCACTTACCACAGACCAAGTGCTTTCTACTCCAGAACATCTTTACTTGCTACAACAATTCTGAGGTAATGACGCTAAAGCCCATGTTTTGAATGGACACAGAGCTCTCAATTGACTCTTCACCTTCTCCACACTCAGATATCTTGAATTCTACAACTATAATCACTCTTCATGTCTATCTCAATAGCTATGTCCCTTTTCAAACTGTCTGTAGTGATATACACTGTTAAACTCTTGCCCTGTTTTCCCAACCTTAACTCCCTCTGCTCTTCTTGGGCACAAGCTGACTGACCTGCTTGGTGACCCCCCAATTATTGCTAACCCTGTTGGTCATTGCTAACTCTGTTCTTTCTCATCTGTCGTCTTTTTTTTTTTTTTCTTGTTCCAGTCCTGGGGCTTGAACTCAGGGCCTGGACACTGTACCTGACCTTCTTTTGCTCATGTCTAACAGTCTACCACTTGAGCCACAGCACTACTTTGGCATTTTCTGTTTATGTGGTACTGAGGAATCAAACACAAGGCTTCCTGCATGCTAGGCAAGCAGTCTATCACTAAGCCACATTCCCAGCCCTTCTTCTCCTTTCTGAATTAATCCTACAATCCATGTCAGTGATCCATGGCCCCTCCCCTTCTGACTTACAACTACAAATAGGCCTCCACTCTTTTTACTTCACTGTATTCTGCCTTCTGCTGTTAAACCCAGTGCCCTCCTCTATTACACCAAGAACAGGGTCCTCCTGTTACTCTTATGCACACAGCAGGTGCTTAATAAGCAAGGGAAGGGATCGTGTAGCTGGATGAATGTTAACTTGATGGAAATGAGAATCTCAGAAGCCAGGCTATAGCTTCATTCTGTCTTATCACAGCTCTGTGCACTTCAGAGGTGGCACTCTACTGAGTCAGGAGGGCAAGGGGGAGTCAAGGCTCCTAACCCTACACAAGGAAGCAGAACCCCAAGCTGGGCTCTGGGAGGGGGTTCTCAGATGTTCTACCTGACAGCACTCTCAGGAGATCTCCGGGCTGTCCCTGACAGTCGGCAGCCACCCTGGCATCCGCACCTTTAGACACGTTGTACCCATATGCGGCATAGGCAGCTGCGGAGGCTGCGGCAGCCCCTGCTTTGGCTCCTGCCATCGCAGCAGCACTACCCGCCGTGGACTTCCGGCTTCGGCCTTTCCCCGCTCCTTTGGCTGTGCTTCCTGAACCTTTGGGGCGGCCTCGGCTTCGAGCTGAGTGACCACGTCCTGCAGCTGGCATTTCCTGAATAGAAATTCCTATGGGAACAAATGGCCAAAAGGGGAAAAAAATTAATCTCAAAAGGTTAGCAGAATCTTTCCTTGAAAGGGAAAGCTGGCACTTAGTATATGTACATATCTATCTCTGGAGACAGTCTTCTAGGTTGTCCAGGCTGGTCTTGAACTCCTGAGCTTGAGCAGTCCTCCCACTGTCAGCCAACAAAGGGTCAAGACCATAGGTCTGCACCAGCAAAGCAAACCTGGCTTATTGGAGCCACCTGGCAGGTCTGTCTTCATTTAATGGGCAGACCACTCCATCACACACAGAATCACTACAAGTCCTAAACAACTAACAGCTGGACTTTGCCGGATGCCTTCCTTCTGAGGAAGGGTTCCAATACCCCTGGATATCTTCTTACATTAGCCCATAACACTAAAAGAACCCCAGGGACTTGATACCTAGAATTCTCCCACACAAAGAAATATACTTCTGGGGCTAGGAAGGTGGCTCAGTGGAAGAGCTCTTGCCTTGCATGTATGAGGCCCTGGGTTCGATTCCTCAGCACCACATAAGCAAAATGAAAAAAAGCCAGAAGTGGTGCTGTGGCTCAAGTGGTAGGGCACTAGCCTTGAGCTGAAGAGCTGAGGGACAGCGCCCAGGCCCAGAGTTCAGGCCCCACAACTGGACCCCCCCCCCCAAAAAAAGAAATATACTCCTGTCTCGGAGAGTCCACTTTTACTTCCAACAAACACCCTTTCCTGGTCCTAATCTAAGGACTATGAAATGCTAAAATAGGTGTTATAGCTCTGAGTTACAACTCCAGCTCTCTTCCTCCTCTTACTAGCTCACATTAGTTGTATGTTACACTTCCATATGTTTTTAATATATTCCAGTTCTACTTCTTTAGCTTCCCAACAATAGCAGCAACATTGAGTTTCCAAGAATAACAGAAAATGTCCAGGAAAGCTTTCATTAAAAACTACCATTGCCGGGAGCCGGTGGCTCACGCCTGTCATCCTAGCTACTCAGGAGGCTGAGATCTGAGGATCGCGGTTCAAAGCCAGCCCAGGTAGGAAAAGTCCATGAAACTCTTATCTCCAATAAACCACCAGAAAACTGGAAGTGGCATATAGCACAAGTAGTAGAGCACTCACCTTGAGCTGAAGAGCTGAGGGACTGAGGGACAGCACCCAGGCCCAGAGTTCAGGCCCCACAATGGACAAAAAACAAACAAACAAAAACTACCCAAAGTACTCAGTGCAGGTGGCTCACACCTGTAATCTAAGCTACTAAGGAGGCTGAGATATGAGAATTGATTCAGAAAAATTCATGAGACCTTTATCTTTAATTAATCAGCAGAAAGCTGGAACTGGAGGCACAAATGAATGGAAAAGGCCAAGCAAGAATATGAGACACAGGGGCTGGGAAGGTGGCTCAGTGGTAGAGTGCTTGCCTTGCATGCATGAGGCCCTGGGTTCGATTCCTCAGCACCACTTAAGCAGAAAAGGCCAGAAGTGGCGCTGTGGCTCAAGAGGTACAGCACTTGTCTTGAGCTGAAGAGCTGAGGGACAGTGCCCAGGCCCAGAGTTCAGGCCCCACTACCAAAAAAAAAAAAAAAGTATGGGACACAAAGTTCAAAGCCTCAGTAGCAGCCTCCAAACATTCCCTAAAACCTCTCTCTTCCTTTTACTTGGTAAGATTACTGAAAAAATATGCCTGTAAGGTCTCCCTATTGCTCCTTTTCTTCTTCAAAGGAGAAAATTTCTATATCCTAAAAGGTACCAGGATCTCTCACCCATCACATAACCAATGCTTTCCCTGAGTGAGGGGGCAGGCCTACGCCGGATGAGCCAGCAGCGTCACTTACCATTCACAGTGTCTGAGACAGAGCCTGTTACGGAAGCAGGAGAATTGGTGGCTCGGGACTGAGGGGCTGAGGAGGCGGGGTCATCCACAATGACCAGCATGTCACTGCTGCTCTCATCAGGGGGGATGGAGCCTGTGTGCAGCTCACTGCTGATGGAAATCTACAAGTAGAAAGGGTGAGATCACCAGTAATCTCAGTGCCTGCAGCCCTTGTACCTGAGTAGGAATGAGTTTCATGGGGTTTGCCCGAATTGCTCCCATCTGACTGTCTTCAGTGCTGAGACTCAGATTCCCCTCTGGCTTCTGAGTGCCAGCCTGTCCTCATCTGCGTTTCTCTTTATAAACACTGTGTGCTACCCTTGGACGCAGTCACTCCGTTGTGTGGAAGCATCCAGAAGTCTTGCCTCACCTCACTGAAAGGGCTGGGCATGGCTGAGTCCACGCTTATGAAGGAGTCATCCCCATCAGCAGAGAGGTTGGAGTTATCCGCCGAAGGAACAAATGGGATCACCAGGTTTACACCTTCTTTTCTCCTTTTCCCATCTAATTCATCTTCCTTTTTCTTCTAGAAACACAAAGGTTAAGATATGCAGAAAACCATGAGGATATGGCTCAGGAGAAAAATGGTATAAGAAAATGATAACAAGTTCTATTCTTTATAAATATCTAGGGATAGGTGAAAATGTTAGATGCATTGTAGCTGGGCACTGGTGGCTCATGTCTGTAATCCTAGCTACTAAGGAGACTGAGATCTGAGGATCATAGTTCAAAGACATCCTGAGCAAGAAAGTTCATGAGACCCTTTCTTTAATATGCAACAAAAAAGTTGAATGTGGGGCCGTGGCTCAAGTGGCAGAGTGCTAACCTTGAGCAAAGAAAGTTCAGGGACAGTGCCCAGCCCCCAGAACCCCTTTGCCTTATTCCTAAAGATGTACTGTATTAATAAACTTCTTTGGTGAACAGCAACTCGTTTGTACTATTTAAAGATTTTTTAAAATGTCTCATTAAAAAAAATTTTTTTTTTGCCAATCTTGGGGCTTGAACTTGGCTTGGACATGGTCCCTGAGTGAGTTTCTTTCTTTCTTGTTGGTCATGGGGCTTAAATTCTGGGCCTGGGCACTGTCCCTCAGCTCTTCAGTTCAAGGCTAGGCTAGCACTCTACCACTTGAGCCACGGCGCCACTTCCAGCTTTTTCTGCTTAAGTGATGTTGAGGAATCAAACCCAGGGCCTCATGCATGCAAGGCAAGCACTCTACCACTGAGCCAGATTCCCAGCCCTGTCCCTGAGTTTCTTTTGCTCCAGGCTAGCACTCTACCACTTGAGCCACAGTGCCACTTCTGGCCTTTTCTGTTCATGTGGTGCTGAGGAATGAAGCCAGGGTTTCATGCATGCTAGGCAAGCACTCTCCCTGGGCTACCTTCCCAGCCCCTCTCAATTACTTTTTTTTTTTGTCAGTTGTGGGGCTTGAACTCTGGGCCTGGGCGCTGTCCCTGAGCTCTTCAGCTCAAGGCTAGTGATCTAGCACTTGAATCACAGTACCACTTCTGGTTCTGATGGTTTACTGGAGAAAAGAGTCTTGTGGACTTTCCTGCCCAGGCTGGCCCTGAACTGCAATCCACAGATCTCAGCCTCCTTAGTAGCTAGGATTACAGGCGTGGAGCCACCAGTGCCTAGCTTTTTTTTTTTTTACTTTAAATAATACAAAATAACAGGTTAGATATTTGGGAGTGTAGAGGCCCAGGGAAGAGGTAGATATGGGAAGCCCAGACTAGTAGAATTTTCATCTTTTACTTTATATGGATTTTTCAACTTTGTAAAACCAAATGAGCATCAGGGGCATCTTTCAGGCTAAAAAATCTCTGCTCAGAACAGATCCAACTGAGGATATGTATTTTACAACAGGAAGAATTGGCACATTCACAGGTTCCTAGGCTGCTGGCAATCAAATCAAAGGCTGATGGTCAAAGACATACAGACTCTTTTTTAAAGAGTCTATGGGTTCTAATAATACTTGCAGTTTATAACCATCATTTGGCACTGACAGGTGGTTTCCATGATCAAACTATGACTATTAACAGGGTGAGTCTGTGAGAGTAATATAGCTCTAGCAAGACTGTAACTCTTCTGATTAAGTGTTCAGCTGCCCAGAACTGCTTGGAATCACATTCAAAAGGAGATGCAAGCCTCACATCTTGAAGCCATTCTGTGAGCTCCAAGGCCTCCCTGCCCCTATCCACACCCAAATGAAGATACCTTCTCTGCATATTTTTCCCGTTTGCGCTTGCGTTCTTTCACTCGATTGGTTTCTTCCTGTTGCCGTTTCTCTTCCTGTCGCAATCTCACTAACAAGGAAATTTAAAAAAAGAAAAAAAGAAATACTGTTAGTCATACCTCCTGAGACCAAGAGGGTGCTATCTTCTGACCTTTATAAGTTGTAAGTTCAATCTAGTTAAGGCAGGTAAGTGATGTTTTCCTAGCTCAAAGAAAGAGCACTGTTGAGATTTTCAGTAGCATGTGGATCCAAACTATGATTCCTTTCCATGTAATTATTATAGGCCTTTCATTGTGTTGTCTCCACCTTGACCCTTTCTTATTTTTTGTGTCAGTACTGGGTCGTAAACTCTGGGACTGAGTGCTATCCCTGAGCTCTTTTGCTCAAGCTTAGTGGTCTACCACTAGAGACACAGCTCCATGTCTGGCTTTTGTTTGCTGTTAACTGGAATGGACTTTCTTGCCTGGGCCAGCAAGATGTAGCCACCTGAACAGCTAGAATTACAGGTGTAAGCAACTGGCTCTGAACCGTTTTTTTTTTTTTTTTTTTTTTGGTTTTCAATTTTTTTTTTTTTTTTTTTGGGTCAAGGCTTGAACTCTAGGCCTGGGCGCTGTCCCTCAGCTCTTCAGATCAAGGCTAGCACTCTACCACTTAAGCCACAGCCCCACTTCCAGTCTTCTGGTGGTTAATTGGCGATAAAGAGTCTCACGGACGTTCTTGCCCAGGCTGGCTTTGTAATCCTCAGATCTCAGCCTCCTGAGTAGCTAGGATTACAGGTATGAGCCACCAGCACCCAACTCCTTTTTTTTTTTGGTTGGTCATGGGGCTTGAATTCAGGGCCTGGGAGCTGTTCTGTGAACTCTTTTGCTCAAGGTTAGCACTCTACCACTTTATGCCATAACATCACTTCTGGTTTTCTGGGTTAATTGGAGATAAAGAGTCTCATGGGCTTTCCTGCCTGGGCTGGCTCTGCACTGCAATCCTCAGCTCTCAGCTTCCTGCTGAGTAGCTGGGATTACAGGTGTGAGCCACCAGTGCCTGGCTAACACATTGCGCCTTTTATTCTCAGATGTTTGGGGCTGGGAGGAGAGGGTATGGAGTCTCTAGAGTACATACGTTTCTTTTCTAACTCCTCGTCATCTAGAAGAAGACTAACCACCTCTTTGGGTTTCAAGGTATCTGGTTTGAAATTACCACCGGAAATCACCATCCGCTGAATCTACAAAAGGAAGATAAAAAAGTCACCTGCAGGTATCCATTCCCTCAGAGGATGTCCAGGATTCAGAAATACGTAGACCCCTTTTCCACCTGCTCCTCAGGAGAGGCCTCTGGCTCCCTACTTCTTTCTTGTTCATCTGACTGGTTGTTCCAGATTATTTGCCCCACACAAAGAACAATGATAATTTCTTTGTTTGGGACTGTTGACAGCAAGAAAACCAACAATGCAAACACAGAAAAAAAAAATCAAACTATATAATTTCTTTGGCAATTCATACAATTTGGAGGCAGGCAAACTGAGAGTACTAGAAGGAGAAAGCAAAGATGTTACCCCTCCTTCCTCTGAATGTGAACGTGTCACAGGGGGCCATTACTGGTGTTAGGCTGACATGAAATGGCTATTGCATAGGTCCTGATTTTCCATGCAGAAGAATTTTATTTTCTCCAAGAATAATGAAAGAGAGTCGGTTTAATCAACACGGTGGTTTCTGAATAGTCATCCTTCCCCCTTTACCCCTGTAGTTACCTCACTCTTCTCCTTGGCTCTCTGTAAAATGCGCTCCTCAATTGTGCCTTTACAGATGAGCCGGTACACGGTAACTTGCTTTGTCTGTCCCAGGCGATGGGCCCTGTCCATGGCCTGCTGGTCTACAGTGGGGTTCCAGTCGCTGTCATAGAAAATCACCTACACAGGCAAGGTGAGAACACAGCAAAAGCTGGAGTACTCTCAGGGCAGGACCAGAAATTCTGAGAGCAATGTAGTCACTCATCTGCTCATAATGGCTTATGTTATCAGGGAGAGATTTAGGATGAGAAGATATGTCTTCTTAGTAGATCAAGCTATTCTTTCAGTTGCTCTGGTAAAACAGACACTTTTCTTGTCTCTTTACTTTTTGTTTAAAAAGAAGCAATAAGCCAGGCATGACTGAGGTGTACCAGCAGCCTCCACGTGGGAGGCTCAGGAAGGAGGATGATTTGGACTCAGGAGTTTAGGACTAGCTTAGGCAAACAGCAAGATAAAAGAAAAGCAGTGATATTAATAGTTAACAGTCTAAGTAAGTGGTGGGCTTGGGTTAAGAGGGGATTAGGAAGCCTTTCCTATGTATTGGGGATGGCTTGGAAAGAAACAGGTACTTTTCTGGCAACTTCTGGCTTGCCTCTAATAGGGTCATTTCCTGTCCCCTGAATTCCAAGGATGGAATGTATCAATGAGAGCTACTTCTAGTTTTCTGAACAACAGAAACAAAACAACCCTTCCCCCCAAAAACTACAAAATGTACCACCACCAAATAATTCTAAAACCTATAGCTTTCTGGATTTTTTTTGGTTGGTCATGGGGCTTGAACTCTGGACTTGGGCGCTATCCCTTAGCTCTTTAGCTCAAGGTAAGCACTCTACCGCTTGAGCCACAGCGCCACTTCTGGTTTTCCAATGTTTAATTGGAGATAAGAGTCATGGAGCCAGGTGCTGGTGGCTCACACCTGTAATCCTAGCCACTCAGGAGGCTGAGATCTGAGGATCTTGGTTCAAAGCCAGCCCGGGCAGGAAAGTCCATGAACATTTATCTTCAATGAACCACCAGAAAACTGGAAGTGGCACTGTGGCTCAAGTGGTAGAGTGCTCGCCTTGAGCTGAAGAGCTGAGGGACAGTGCCCAGGCCCAGAGTTCAAGC